ATATGAATATCAGGCACAATCCTTCCCGTTAGGGGTTTAGTATCATACCATCATAACATATATGAGAAGAACATAACCCGTGTCATGCCAACAACTGGTTTTTAAATAAAAGTGTTTAGTTCCGATGCAAAGACCCTACAAGTGAATCAATATTAACGCCAAAATATGCAATCTTTAATGACCTGACAACAGTATCGTAACTATATCCCTTCTTAATAAGTCTATATGCTTACCTTCAGTCATGGTTCATCGACTTTGAATATTTGCATAACTTACATGTTAAAGTATTGCTATTTTAATTTCAACATTTGCATTATCAAAATTACAAAAAGGCGAGACATATCTCTGTGATAACAGTTTATTTGAAGGTGTGTAATCCGACAAAACTGGAGGATCCCGAAAGGCCTTTAAAACAGATGGCAGAATGGAGCGTTTCAGATCCTTGTAAGCAAAGCTTGGATTTGATTTGATTTGATTTATTTTTGGTGTTTTAACGCCACTTTTAAGCACCGCTTTTGGGCTATTTCGTGGCGGCCAGTTTTTATTGGTGGAGGAAGCCGGAGTGCCCGGAGAAAACCACCGACCTTCGATAGGAAAACTGACAATCCTAGTCAATTAAGATTGGAGTCGAGTGCACCCGCACGAGCGAGGTTCGAACTCACAACCTCAGTACTGACTGGCTAGTGATTACAGTAGAACTTCTTAGACCACTCGGCCACCAAGGCCCCAGCAAAGCTTGGACACACAGAATCTGTATTCGAATCAGACTGATTTGATATCAAAGATAAATAACTAATTTATGTTTTGCTCATAATTGAAGGTCGTACGGTGAACTATAAAGTTATCGAAATTCCTATTGGGACTAACTGTACACCAATTATTGCGGACCTGTTTTTGTCTTGTAAAGAGTTACAATTAATAATGAATAAAATCAGCAAAGACCCATAGAAACAACTAATACACAAATTTAATAACACTTTTAGATATTTGGATGATATATTGGCTCTCAAAAAAGACGACTTTAGTATGTACACTAACTGAGAGAATTATCCTGCTGACTTTAAATAAAGTTAATACTAACAATGAACACTGCCCTTTCCTTGATCTTGATATCTTTATCTTTAACGAGAAGCTTAATACCAAAATTTACGATGAAAGAGATGATTTTTCATTTCCTTTTGTTAATTATCCATTTTTAGACGGTGACATTCCCTTGGCACCATCTTATGGTGTTAATATATCTCAACTTGTTCGATTCGCTCGTGTATGTAACAACGCATTTGATTTTAACGAAAGAAATCGCTGTATTACTGAAACATTATTACGACAGGGTTTTCGATTTCACAAACTTGTCAAAACATTTACTAAATTTTATCATCGGTACCTGAAGGACACCATTCGTAAATATAAATCAACGGGCAGACATCTTATACGATCAGGTATTTCAAATATCAAGTCAATATCGTCAAGCATGACGAAAAAAAATGTGGAAAACTGATTATTTAAGTGAATTTTCTAAGTCCAAGGACCATAACTCTGCACAAAATCACCAGACCGGAACACAATTCGAACTTGATCTGTTACTTGTCATGATAAAACTATATACCAATTATCCATTCAATATCTTCAAGCATGGCGAAAAAAAGTTAGGAAAACTGATTATTTTAGTGAATTTTCTAAGTCCAAGGACCTTAACTCTGCATAAAATCATCAGACCGAAACAAAATTTGAACATGACCTGTAACTTGTCATGCTAAAACTATATACCAATTATCCATTCAATATCTTCAAGCATGACGAAAAAAAAGCGAGAAAAACTGATTATTTGAGTGAATTTTCTAAGTCCAAGGACCTTAACTCTGCACAAAATCATCAGACCAGAACAAAATTCGAACTTGATCTGTAACTTGTCATGATAAAACTATATACCAAATATCAAAACAATATCTTCAAACACGAAGAAAAAAAGTGTGGAAAACTGATTTGCCGGACTGACGGATGGACAGACAGACAGACAGACGGAGTGCAAACCTAAAGTCCCCTTCGACTTCGTCGGTAGGGGACTAAAAACATTGATTCACTCATAGGGTCTTTGCATCGGAAATAAACACATTTATTCTAAAACCAGTTGTTGGCATGATACGGGCTACGTTCTTCTCGTATATTTTATGATGGTATGATACTAAACCACTAACGGAAGGGATTGTGCTTGATTTTCATATGATGAAGACATAATCTTTCAATCAGTTTAATTGAGGTCAGGAGCTGGCATGTCAATAACTGCTAGCAGTCCTTTGTTAATTTATGTTGATCATTGTCATTTTGCTTAGTCTCTTCTGTTATTTATTCTAACATCGGACTTCTTTAAAACTGAGTTTTACTGTGCGTATTGCTGTGTGTTTGTTTATTCCACATTGGCTAGAGGTATAGGGTAGGGTTGAGATCTCACAAAAAATGTATCATTCTAATCGTGCATGCGGAACCAGCACTTAGGAAAAATAAATGCTAATAGTTATAGAAAACAAATAAAAGATAATTGAATTTTAATTATGCATTTTTAGAATAAAAATTTTACTTTTGCACCTGTCCCAAGTCAGGAACCTCTGGCCTTTGTTAGTCTTGTATTATTTTTTAAAATTTTGGTTCATTTATGTGTTTCGGAGTTTAGTGTAACGTCCATTTTCTCTGAACTTACGTCTTCATAATTGTTTAGGGGCCAGCTGAAGCCCGCCTCTGGGTGCGGGATTTTCTTGGTGTGTTGGAAGACCCATCAATGGCCTGTGGCTGTTTTCTGCTCTTTGGTCGGGTTGTTGTCTCTTCGACACATTCCCCGTTTCTATTCTCAATTTTATAGTTGTAAACTTTTACATCATTTTGGTCTCTGGTGGAGACTTGTCTCATTGGCAATCATAGATTCATACCCCATTTTTTAATTTTTATTTTGACATTTGTAACAATATTTATTAACTAAATTGTCAAAAAAACCTGATCAGGCATTCAGACAATACATCCAAATATTTTCAATTTTATCATTATTTTTATGCAAACATACAGTTAATGTATGTCTTTATTCTGTAATATATCATGTAATCAAAAAGTGAAGAATCAATATAGAAAACAAAAGAAACATTTCAAACTTAATGTCCTGTTAACATGTGGTGTTACACAATGGAAATCACAGTACACCTAGAACAAAAAGCCATATATTTCATAGAGGACACTGTTTACATAGTGTGGACAAGACAAAGCAAGACAAAGCAATCCCTACTTTTCTTTTCATAATTTTATTACATATAGTTTAAAAAGCCATATTTGAAAATCTTACAAAGTCCTTATTATTTTTTCATTGTTTTTGAAAGAAAAAATTTGCAAATGTCATGAATGTTAAATGTATGAAAAATCTAGAGAGAATCATTTCCCGCCAAATTTTCAGAGGCTTATATCTCGAAAACAAGTACACTGACCCTTATTTTTTTTTCTGCTTTTTTAGTTCCTTTAATTATATACTATCAATTTGTAACTCTTACTCACAATTTGAATCTTACTCGAAACACAATTCCAACCTGATCCCTAAGAATAACTTGAACTTGAACTCTAACTCTATGGTAAGCCACAATAAAAAAATCTACTCTATTTAATTTAACAGTCTTCACGCTTAACCACAAGTCCTACGGCATTGGCTTGTAAAATTGATTTTCGGCTTGTAAAATTCTTCTCTACAAGCCAACAGAATCCAACTAAAATATTCAAAAAATTGAGCTTCTGGCTTGTGGACTCAAAAATTTAGCGTGAAGGCTACTCTAAGACTTATGATAAAGGGCAACAAAAATCAAATAGTTTGTTTATGTCTTTAACGTTATGATCAAAAGTTATTTCAAAACCACATTCAAGGTAGGTATAGTTTCTGGTTGGGATTTCTTTTTTCCGTGTGAACTGGATCACTTTTTCATGTGTCGTTAAACAGTATTTAGTTTATAAGATATCTTATTAAGTTTATAAGATATATCAATTAGTTTAAAGGATATATCAATTAGCTTTTATGATATCTTATTGACCAAGATACATGTATCATATACATTACAGATATCTTATCTAATTTATTAGATATTATATTTGATTTATAAGATATCTATTTCAGTTGATAAGATATCTTTTTAACTAAATAAATAAGATATCTGATGAGATTTTTAAGTCCTTTAAGGATTCTTTTTTGATGAATATGATCTTAACTTCAAAAATGTACTTGGATTTCAGGATTGCTACCTTTCACTAAGATATTACAGGTAACTTAACTTTATTAACCATATAATATCAGTAATAAATGGGTCCCATAATGTAAATGGATATTGCATTTAGGTATAAACTTTTGAAGATTTTTCATGATTACCAAAATAGTACTTCTATTTTTGGATTGCCTCATAATAATTTCTTATTGCACCATGTACTAAATGGTTCTTCTCTTAAACCCTTATGAATTATTACCAGTAAGGACCCCACTGGAAATAAGTTTCAATAACTTTTGTGGGTCATCCTAGGGTATTAGGCTGCAGTGATAATCTTAGTCTATATAGTTTACTTATTAAAATCTAGTCTCAAATCAAAGTATCATGACAATTTCCATACTTTTATTTTTTAAATTATAATTTTTAGTAAACATGTAAATCATTTGTGTCTGTAAGTTGTAACTATTCATGTCTGTATGTGTCATTTTAATTTATTGTGTCTGTCAAAATTCATACCTTATATCTTGAATGTATATATTGTTCAGTCTAGGTGGCCGAGTGGTCTAGAGCGCTGGACTAAGTGCAGGCGGTTTTGTATTGATATCCCAATGGCATGAGTTCGAATCGCGGCGAGGAAAGAACTCAAAATCAAGGATTTGTATAGTAAGACCTTCTTACTACACAAAGATCTACAAATCCTTATTAAAATCATTCTCCTAAAAAATAATCTATTTTGAAAACTCCGGCGGAACTCTACTGAAAATTGATGTTACTTACCTAATCAGTTAATTTCTCCTATCATTTTTGTTTGGTAAAACCACGGCAACGCTTACTTTCGTTTTCAATGGGATTTCCCTTTGATCAAAGGGAGACGATCTAGTTGTGCTAAAATGAGGGGATACACTGGTATCGGGTCCGTTCGCCCTAATTACATGTTCGCCCTGGGTTCGTTCGCCCTGAGTCCGTTCGCCCATAGAGTCCGTTCGCCCTGGGTCCGTTCGCCCTAATTTTAATAAAAAAAAATAATATTAGTGGTTTAATTTAAAGTTTTGTAATCTTATTCAGATATTTAAATGGTAAATATTAAAAAATATATCTCCAAATTCATGAATAAACATTGAAATTAAAAAAAAAGGGTTTTTGTTTTGAAGCATTAACCAGGCTAGTAATTGGCTTCATTGTTACATTTGTTTTTATTCAGAATTACTTTTAATGACTGTTGATTGTATATAAACTCATCATAGATACCAAGATTGAAACTTTGTACGCCAGACACACGTTTCGTCTACAAAAGACTCATCAGTGACGCTCGAATCAAAAAAGTTTATAAGGCCAAATAAAGTACGAAGTTGAAGAGCATTGAGGACCCAAAATTTCTAAAAGTTTTGCCAAATACAGCTAAGGTAATATATTTCTGAGGTGGAAAAGCCTTAGTATTCCGAAAATTCAAAGTTTTGTAATTTAGAATGCTGATTAGATATGATTACGATGTCTTTGGTCTCACTGATTGTTGTAGTTATTATTTTTGGTGGATTAATAATGAAATTGTTTTTTTTAAATAAACAAGTCAGCTTGGAATGAGTTAAAACAATGATGTATGAATTGTAAGACATTAATCTAAAAGAGAAATTGTTTTCGCCGCTTAATTGGCTTCTTTGCTCTCAAGGTGTTGAGTGAGTTGGATCTTGTTATACCTGTTTGGATTGTTTTGAAATTGTTACAAGGTTTCAAATTAAAAAGATAAATTCATACAGATAACTTTTTTGTCTCCAGTTCCTGTACAATTCTTCTTCAAAATACTGTCCACATTCAACATGATGAATATTCTTGCAAGAATATTCAATGCAAATCAAACGAAAAATCATTATCTGGTAGCATCAATACAACATAAATCCTTGTCTCATGGGTTTTCGTGCTATTAAGAATGCATTGTGACGTCACAATTTCCATTTAAAAAGCATGCATAGTACGAATTCATATGACGTACGAAAACGTATGATCTGACCAAATATTTCGGCGGAATTTTCAACAAACTTTAGAAAATAGAAATCAGGGCGAACGGACTCAGTGCGAACAGGAATTAGGGCGAACGGACCCAGGGCGAACAGGTATTAGGGCGAACAGGTACTAGGGCGAACGCGAATCAGGGCGAACGGACCCGGATTCTAGACACACTAAAGACCTGAACTTGGACCTGAAAAGACCTGAACATATACTATTTGCTTTATTATCTTTTCAATAAATTAAAAAAATGAATTAAAGTAAAGATTGAAATAAATATTTCATCAACAAACAAAGGCATGGTAATAAGATAAAAATGTTGATGCAAAAACTCTGACCTGAAAGGAGGAAACGAAAAGAAAGTAGTCTTAGTCGTAATTAATGCACAAGTTTAGAGTGACAAAGAAAATGCCAACATATAAAACACATACAACAAATTTAACAACAATCCGTTAATCAAGAGTGCCTTGTTCTCAATTTCATTGACCGTGAAAAAAAAGAAACCTAGACGGGCCAGTTTGTACTTTCGTTAGATTTAGTAAATGTTGTAACTTTTGTTGTAAGTGAGACTCATTAAGTCAGTATTTTGAGAGATCCGTTTGGAGGAGTAATTATTTCTTAAATTTTGATTCTTTTGTTATTGAAGCTGAAATGAAATTTATCATCTATATATATACTATTATTAGAGCAAAAATACATAGTCTAAGATTACGAGTTATTTTTTTATTTTTATACTGTATCTCGGACCCAATTCAAGTCACAGGCACTTGTTTCTATCCATGGGAAGCCCCACTATCAACGTAAATATACGTTGATAGTGGGGCTTCCCAAGGATAGAAACAAGTGCCTGTGATTCAAGTTCCAGATTATGTTCATATAGTTTAAGCAGAGACATGTGTAGATATGATTCTGGTTTAATATAAAAAAAAAAGAAGATGTGGTATAATTACCAACAAGACAACTCTCCACAAGAGATCAAATGACTCAGAAATGATCAAATATAGGCCTCAGTCAACAATGACCAAAGCCCATACCGCATAGTCAGCTATAAAAGGCCCCGAGATGACAAATGTAAAATATTTCAAACGAGAAAACTAACGGCCCAATTTGTGTACATAATAATAAATGAAGAACAAATATGATACACAGAAACAAACGACAACCACTGAATTACAGGCTCCTGACTTGGGACCGGCACATACAGAATTAAGTTTAGTAATAAGTTTACGAAATTCATAAGTGTTACAGAGTGAATGTGATAAGTAAAACTGTCTCTCTATTTTGAGATCCTTGAGGAGAAAAGCCCGGGCTTATATTGTTCAAATAGTTAAATGAATTTGGTTGCTATAAAAGTAAAAAAGATACAGTGGCGGATCCCGGCAGAAATTTTTATAAGTGGGGCCCACTGACTGTTTAAAGAGGGGCCCCGCTCCAGTCATGCTTCAGTGATTCCCTATATCTCACAAAAGGGGGGGGGGGGGGGTCCTGCTCCCCCTAAATCCGCCTCTGAGATATGGTATGATTGTCAATGAGACAACTCCCCACTAGAGACCACATGACGTTGAAGTTAGCATCTATGAGGGCTAGATTAAAAAAAACATTTATCAATCTTCTATTTGATAACTCCCACCTTAATACAGGATTATAGGACTCATCAACTGCTATTTTACGACAAGAGTTCCATGACGATGGGTGTCACTAGTTGATTAGGTACTGCTAGCTGATATTCCATACAGAGCATAGAAATTCACCTCTGATTTTTGGTGGGGTTAATTTATTGTGTTGTGAAATATATTTGTTTAATAGTAAGGAAAATGTAACCGTAAAAAGGTTCGCAAGTTCCAAAGTCTTCATACTGTTGTGAAATCGAGTAAAAAGAAGTATAATATAAGGCTTGACCGGGCCCCATGCACCTCTCCCCTTATTTACACGTAACCACCCCTTTCTAATAGCTTCTCCTATGTAACAAGCACTAATTAAGGTTAATTTAGCGAATCAAAATAGGCTTGTGTGTGTTACCTCTTCCATTTAAAAGTTTATTCAGACAACTGAAAAAATTGTTATTATGAACATTGTATAAAATACAACAATTTAAAAATTCATGGTGGGATTGCACCAAGGATAAAAAGAGGTATGATGTCTTAAATAAGGACTATTTCCAAATAATCAAACCACCATAAAAGACTGTTGACAATAAGAAAGGTTTCGGCTATGGGGCAACCATAGCATACTGTATACATAAGCAATGGTCAAATAAGTATAGAAAAATGTTCACATAGACTACTGCAGTCTCGTAGGAAAACCTATTCGGGTGGGTGTCTGTTTGGAAGTTTTATACATAATCACGTCCGATCGGAATGCAAACATTTATTGAATTCGTTATCCAGCGTTTAGGCAGTGCCTAACACATTTATTTTTTAAATTGTCCCCTTCGACTACCTGTGCCACCTCCCCCCGGAAAATTACAATTATTGAGACTGTTAAACAGATATTATCGTCCTAATTGTGGCTGAAATATTTGACACCGGACATAAGAAAACATTTACAAGTCTGCAGCGATATATAGTTCTGTATATTGTGTTCATCCAAGCTAACAGTACTCCAGTACTATGATTTGTCTAGATGTTTTCCACAAAGACAGTCAAGCGTCACAGCTTTTCTATTACCAAGCCATTAAATGGATCATTGTTTTCAAATCCCTCCATTGTATATAAGTCAACTGTTTTGTATTTGTTACTTGTCATTCAACAAAATGAAAAAGAAAAAAAAAAGATTCGCAAAAATCTTAAAATAAAACATCGAATCTTATCGGGAATTGACGATTCAATTATCTCTCTCGGTTAATATGGGTAGAAATCCGTTTGCTCCAAAAATGCGCCTTTTTGCGCCACAAGTCATTTGCGCCTATGCTTCATTTGCGCCGATAGTTTCGAAATGGCGCCAAAAACAAGTATATGATTGCTCCATTTTTTTTTTAAAGTATGATAACAAAACATAAAACTATTTACAGTCAGACAACATAATCAGATTAAAACCTGAAATTTGTAATTTAATACACAAATAAGATAATTCTAGTATTTATCAATGGCTAATGTTTCCTTTTCTGAGTTATGCTTTCATTTAACTACTGTTGCATTAACATTTCCCAATTTAATGTAAGTAGAGGCTTGAAATTTAATGAAATTTTCAAAAAAAATAAATAAACCTAGATGGATCTGATGAAAAAGATTCCCAGTTCATTGTAGTACTTATGAAATGCCACCATTAATTTTGTTAGTGCGTCTCGGGGTTGATGAAGTTTCAGTCCATACGGATGGTGGAAACAAATCATTGTCATCAACATATGTGGATAACAGATAATCAGGAAAAAATCAACTTTCTCACATTTTGGCATATCTATCAACAAAAGTCCCCAATTCCATAAACTGTTCGTTTTGTCAACGTATATTTGTTCCGCCTAACAGAAGTTCCACTGGAAACTTTGTTATAAACAATGTCATAATATCTGTTCCTGTTGGAACAAATATTCTATATCATTTATTCCGTAAGGAACATTTACTGTAATATTTATTCCAGTGGAAATAATATTCCAGAATATTGTTTCCATTTGGAACTTATATTATGAAGGAACTTCTATTCCGTTACAGTTTTATGGTTCAGAGTAGTACAGGAAAATTGGCGCAAATGAATTCCGTAAATTGGCGCATTTGATACATTTGAAAAAAATATATGACGCAAATGATACATCTTGAAAATAGCAATTGGCACAAAAGGATTACTGCCTTAATATGAATAGATGATTGAAGCCATGCATGCATTTGTTTGTTCAACCAAAATTATATTCAGGACGAGTACCTATGTTAATAAGATGTAAGTGGACAACTATTAATATGATATAAGTGGAAAACTATTGTTGTATATGGGGTTTTTATAGTTTGTTCTTATGTTGTACTAGGTTAGGGGAGGGTTGGTGCCTTCAAACTAGTTTAACCCCGCCACATTCTGTATGTGCCTGTCCCAAGTCAGGAACCTGTAATTCAGTGGTTGTCGTTTGTTGCTGTGTAACATATTTGTTTTTTCGTTCATTATTTTGTACATAAATTAGGTCGTTAGTTTTCTCGTTTGAATTGTTTTACATTTGTCATTTCGGGGCCTTTTATAGTTGACTATGCGGTATGGGCTTTGCTTATTGTTGAAGGCCGTACGGTGACCTATAGTTGTTAATTTCTGTGTCATTTTGTCTCTTGTGGAGAGTTGTCTCATTGGCAATCATACCACATCTTCTTATTTTTATATCAAAAAGGATAGAAGGATTAAATAAATGTAATGTCCTTTGTCATGAAATTAAGACAACTTTAGTTCAATTATAACTCGAACTTGTAAAAGATGTATAAACTATTGGCAGTCATGATAATTTCTACGACAATCCTATACGGAATCACAGAGCCAAACATTTATGGGATAAGCTTGAAATAAAATAAACCAGGACAGCCGGAGATGAGAATCTTACAAATTTATTTTATATGGTATAAAACTAAATTGCATATAATTTTGATATAGATGGTATTGTCTTTTTTATTTTTTTTTCTATACAATTGTGTCGCGTGTCAAATTATATGACCTTCGATCCAAACTCTTGGAATTTAGCGATCTTCTTTCCAACGTAAAGTGTAGGCATCATTCAACGTCATTTTTCTCACAATACTTCTCTACAAAATATGAAAGGAAGATATATGTCTGATCAATAACAAAATTCAACTGGAAAAGAAGTTATTGCCTTTCAGATATTATCTTAATCTTTTTTGTTTAAAGGTGTCAATCGATGCAAAATTTAACAAAAGTGTATTTAAGCAAGCCATAGATATAGGAAGATGTGGTATGAGTGCCAATGAGACAACTCTCCATCCAAGTTACAATTTATAAAAGTAAACCATTATAGGTCAAGGTACGGCCTTCAACACGGCGCATGTAGACATGTTTTTTTTTTATTTCTTTTTTTTTTAGTTTTTGGTTGTCCTACTGAAATTGTTTGGGATCGACTAATTTATTTTCTTTGAAGAGTATTTTCTGCGGACGGAATACCACTGAACTAATAGAAATTAATATTGAAATATCGTCGTCTTTCTCTCTCGGTGTAAACAAATAACGATTTAAATTTTAGCGGCAATTTAAGCATTTAAAGTTCATCGATTATACCGTCTCCCTTTAATTAAACGGGAAATCCCCTTGAAAACGAAAGTAATCGTTGCCCTTGGTTTTAACAAACAGAAAAGGATTGAAGCAACTATTTGGGTAAGTTACAGCAATGGCAATTTTCAGTTTTGATCATCTTCCAATTGGCCGAGGCAAGATCAAAAGTGGTAGTCACATTTGTCAATAATTTATGATCATTTATGAAAAAAATGATCAATTAATTTATTTGATATACTAGACATACTAGTATAATGTACGATCTGTCACAATTCAGTATTTGTCATTTAAATTATTATATAGCTCATATATGATTTTAACATGTTTTTAATATATTTATAAATACTTTTGATAAATTTGAATAAATATACGTAAATGAAAAACAATATTTATCAAATACTAAAAATAAAGTTCATTAATTAATGTAAATTGGGATATTACAATGGATAGACAATTTTAACATATGAAAATGAATATTTATAGTTTTGGATATACGAATATTTGTAAATTATCATTATAACGTGGCTTACCATCGAGTTTAAGTTGAGTTATAGTTCCAGCTTGAGTTGATAATTGATTTATGATTCGCGTTAGACTTCGAGTCAAAGTCTGAGCTCAAGTTCGAGTAATAGTCAAACTTGCGTTTCGAGTTACACATTGAGTAAAACTTCGAGTTCGAGTCACCTTTCCAGTTAGAGTTCGATCGTATTGAATATTGAGTTAATTCGATTTTTTAGTTTGACTTCTTATTACAATAAATTTAAATCCCTAATCTGGAAATACATTTAAAAAACTGTAATAAGGCTTCCATACAAGAGCATGTCTCCTTGCAATTTCGAATTGGACACAATATTTGAGGCGCACACTATGTTTTATTGAAACAGTATAAATATAAAACTAAAATACGATATCTGAGACTTAATAAACAAAAGAATGTCTGGCAAGAAATAAGCTTTATTGTAGAAATTGTACAATCTACGTTCAAGTGTTAATCTTTTTTACCTTTGAAAATTAATTCAGTCAAATGTACCCAATCCTCGTTAATAAGATGTCTTTTGTGATATCTTATTTTTTTCTCGTTTGAAAGCACTAGAAAACATTTGTGTTTATCTTAAATTGCAGATCTATGTAATCTCTGTTTCATTAATTCATACTTTTTTTATTTCCGGGGTGTTTACAAATATTGTAGACACCTGTCTATTGTTGAATACCATACGCTGAGATCTGGATGTTTTGAAGGTTTTTTTTGTGTTGTTTAGTTGCTGTCGTATTGACATATACCCCATATAATCATTTATTCGTATACTGACATTTGAAAATTAAAAGGCACAACAGAGAAATTCGAATAGCTCAATATCTTAATTAACCCCTACCTAATGTTATGTGCCAGTCCCAAAGTTAGGAACCTCAACAGTGGTTGTCTGTTATTTTATCCTGTAAGGACCATTCTTATGCAACATACTAATTTAAGGAATTTACTTGTGTATTTGAATAAACATATCTAAATATTAATAATTCACAAATATCAATATTGTAGTATACTGTCTTAACTTCTTAATTAAGAGTATTAAAATGAGACAAATATTCGAACCTATATGATAGATGTCAGATTAAATAATAGTTTGATTTTTCTTCGTTTAAATTAATAGGTAGCATTCGTATTTTGTTTAAAACATGATAAAGACTCTTCTAATTACATGATAAAACTCTTCTAATTATATGATAAAACTCTTATAATTACATGATAAAGCTCCTCTAATTACACGATAAAACTCTTCTAAATACATTGTATGTTAATTTTCATTGACCATAATATTTAGTCATATATGATATATACTCTTGTAATAAAATCATCAAAATATACTAAACTTTCATTATTTTAGAAATATAATATTTAATAGTAATATTATAACAAGGCAAAAATGGTCAGTTAACTTCTTATAAATGACAATATTACGAATTGGTTGATCTATACGATGTGTCTGTGTCTAAACGAAGTAATTACATTTTACCACGTCTTAGATTGTGGTTTAACATCTATGTCGTCTGTCTTCTAAGTACCGAACGTGACCTATTCCCGAATATGAGTGTTTTGCAGTGTGTGAATTTGCATTGCTATACGACGTGTCTCGGTATTTATACATCCAACATTCATGTATTTATACATCCAACATTTATGTATTTATTTATGATGTTTCTGTTGTGGATTCATTTGGATATTGTGTTATGTATTATCGTTAATGGAAGATGTTCGTTGTTATTCTGCGGTTTACATGTTGTAACGACTATTATATTATGTATTTGTGCGTTTCTCTGTGCTGAGTGTTCTTACGTTTGTTTGTGCTGTATTTCTCTCACGTAGTGGTGTCATTTTAGCGATATATATAGATTCTACCACTGCATCGAGTGTGATACGATATTTATCCACTCGAGACAGTTAAATTTTCAAATTTAAAACGCGAGGCTTTCTGAGCGTTTTAAATATTTAAAATTTAATTGTCGAGAGTGGATACATATCGTATTACACGAGATTTGGTGGTGGAATCTGTTTCTCTAATGATTTTCAAACAATAAGCAGGCAAACTTATTCCGTCTTTTCGAATGATCTGTAAAAAGATGTATTCTTTCTATGTGACGTCATCAGGCATGGTCGCCTTTTTTCATGCCGTCACAATAGGAAATTCAGAGGAAAGCAAGTAAATTCGACGTCATAATCGGATTTTAACTAATGAAGAACTGAGATCAAACGAACCACACGTCGATTAATTTTTTTTATACAATGGGTGCAGAAAGGGATAAATTGACGAAGAATTAGAGAAATATTTTTTAACATTGCCATATAAGCCGGAGGTTTGGCTAGCCATAAAACCAGATTCAACCCACCATTTTTTCTTAAAATGTCCTGTACCAAGCCAGGAATATGACAGTTGTTATCAAATAGTTCGTTTCTATGTATGTTGGCGTTTATTTTTGTTGCACTTCAGTGTTTCTGTTGTTCCGTTGTTTTCATCTTATAGTTGATGTGTTTCCTTCAGTTTTAGTTTGTAACCCGGATTGGTTTTCTCTCAATCGATTTATGACTTTTGAACAGCGGTATACTACTGTTGCCTTTATTAACCATTTTTGAGGGATCTTGGATATTATCTTGAAAACTATAAAAGCTGGAGAACAAATTAGAATTGCACAAGTAATCAACAAGACAGGATCTAATAGTTAGTCAACATTGCCCAAATCGTCAGTTGACTCCTTATTGGAAAAAAGTAAAATAGCAAAAATACCGAACTCTAAGGAAAATTAGAAACATTAAGTCCTTTATCAAATGACAAAATCAAAAGCTCAAACACATCAAACTAAAGGAAAACAACTGTCATAGTCTAGGTACAGGCATATCCTTATGTAGAAAATTATTGCAAACAAATTTACAAAAGAGTTAAAAGGCGGAAATCTTTAATCAACTCCTAATCGGAGTTCATATTGTATTTGAATAATCTTTTTTCATAGAATTTTGAGAGAAACTATGGTAGGTAGATAAAAACCGTAAAACGCAAAATAACGTCGCCGCATCTAAGTCAAATTATGGAAATCGCCAGTCGCCATATACAGGAGTAATTGCCCTTAACGTATTTTTTGTCAATATTCAGTGTTTGTACCTAATAATCATTAATAATATAATAGATAGACTGAAAAAGAGGGGCGAAAGATACCAGAGGGACAGTCAAACTCATAGATCGAAAATAAACTGACAACGCCATGGCTAAAAAATAAAAAGACAAACAGACAAATAATAGTACACAAGACACAACATAGAAACTAAAGACTAAGCAACACGAACCCCACCAAAAACTGGGGGTGATCTCAGGTGCTCCGGAAGGGTAAGCAGATCCTGCTCCACATGTGGCAACCGTCGTGTTGCTCATGAAACTTTGAACTGCAAACATGACAAGCAATACAAGATCTTCAAAAAAAGATCAACTCATTGAAATCGTTAATCAACATACGCGTCTGTTGCCGCTAGATTAAAATCACACTGAATCATTATTATTTCTTTATTTTTGCCTATTATCTTGAATACTATGAGGGTAGAAAAAAAGTCTGTCCAGCAAAAATCATCGTAGGGCAAGATTTTAGCCCAAGCAATTTCCTTTCATCAGAAATTTTCGTGTTGCATAGTGTCCATGTTATGCAAAAATATCAGGTCAGATATACAGGCTTCTTGGAGCTTCTAGTTTGGACGATTTAGAGCTTGAAATACTGCGAAGGAGCCTATCGTTTATTAAAAGCTTTCTGTTGAACTTTAACTTTCTTTTGGTTAATTTTGTCTAGGGATTTCTGTCTTGTTCCCAACATCTCCTTCTATTCAGATTCTTTTATGAATTATCCAACCGCTCCCTAGGAAAAATGTTCTCACTGGTGTTCACCTATTTTCCTACGTATAAATCAACATATTTCAAAAATATATAACTTATCGTTTTTCTCCAACTCTGATATATGATTTATTATTTCTTTCCCATTTAATTATGCTCTTGATTGTTTGTTTATCAATCCACATTTGAGATATTACCTTTTTGCAATGTTAGTAAGTTGAGCAGCCGATATATCTTCTGCGTGAAAACACTTATAAGTGTTGTATAATTTTTGATGGCATAAGATAATAGAGGCGAAAGATACTAAAGGGACATTCAAACTCATAAATCGAAAATAAACTGACAAAGCCATAGCTAAAAATGAAAAAGACCAACAGACAAACAACAGTACACAAAACTCAACATAGAAAATTAAAGACTGAGCAACACGAACCCTACCAAAAGCTGGGGGATCTCAGGTGCTCCGGAAGGGTTAGCAGATCCTGCTCCACATATGGAACCCGTCATAAATTATATTCGGTTAGTGAATGTATTTTTTAATCCAAACTTCATTTTAATAAATCTCATGCTTATACTCATCTTTTAGATTTGTTTACCTATAATTTGAGATCAAAGATGATCGTCGCTTTTTTCGTACTTTTTAATGTTATATCTATGTATTTATCATGTTACAGTATGGCGGACAGTAAATTTTGCACCGCTTGTCGGCGTGGTGATGGACACATAAAATCCGTATCCTGGTGCAGTGACTGTACTGAACCTGTATGTAAGACATGTGCCAGAATTCACGAAAGGATGAACCCACCTCACAAGGTAGTACCAACAAAAGAGATACATCAACTAAGTTCTCCTCTTCTTAAATTGTCGAAGAATTGCGAGAATCATTCCGATCGAAAGATCGTACTGTACTGCTGTCAACATGACAAGGTGATCTGCGATTCATGTGTACTTGTATCACATCATAATTGTAAGCCTATCATATCCATTCAAGATGCTGCCTTTGGCGTGAAAGACAGTACAGCAATTTCTGAGCTAGAAAAAAGAATGGACAACCTAATTCAAGTTACAGAGAACATACTGAGGCAAACTGAATTAGCATTTGAAAATCTGTCGAAAAGTCGAAACAAAATCAAGAAAAGAGTGTCGGATCTCAAACAGAAATGTATTAATCATTTGGATAAGTTAGAAGCAAGTTTACATAAAGACATCGACAATATGTATAAACAATGTATGGAGACGCTGTCCCGAAAAAAAGATAACGTTCAGTCAAACGCCGGCCTACTGTCTATAAGGAATAGCGATTTTCAATCAATAAAGCAACAAACAACTGAAATCAATTTATTTCAGGCAGTACAATTTTTAGATTGGACGACTCATCAGAAAGAATTGGAAATCAGAGAAATTCTTAAAGCTACTGTTCCAACACTTACATATCATCCTTCCAAATCAGGGTCAAACTTGAAAAAGATACTCCCAGACTTTGGTACTGTAATCGTAGATAATGTCTTAGTACCAATGCCTGTACTAAACATCGATCAACAAGGTCAGTGTTTCGCCAGAGCCCCTGGAGACAAGAGAAAGTTGACGTTGATGTATTCATTCCAAACGAAGAAATTAGTAAATGTAAAAGATGGGGTGCGTATTTCAAGGGGTTGCTTTATTCCTGGTGACAGGTTACTCCTTAGTCAGTACGAAGGTCAAAAACTTTCTGTATGTAAATTTGATGGATCCAACAGCACAATCATTCATTTGGATTATTATCCAGAAAGTATTATCCTATATGACAACAATCACGCTTTATTATCTACAGGCGGTGAAAGTATCCAGATCATCGATTTGTCATCATTACAACATGTTAGGAGCATTATAGTCGGGGGACGCTGTTTAGGAATGACCATTGTAAAAGAAAAGATATGGATAAAAAATCAACCCAATACTCTAACCATAGTAGATATCAATGGAAAAATTCTGAATACAATAAAAACAACATTTAATCCTTATGATATATGTGCCAACAAAGATGGTGATGTTTATTGTACAGACTGTCATAATAGTAATAAAGTCTACCTCGTTACATCGGATGGAAAAGAACGTGAGATATACAGTAGTCCTGACCTGAAAACTGCTCGTGGTGTGGCTGTAGATGACCATGATGATGTTTACGTAGCAGGAAATAGATCAAATAACATTCATAGAATATCTAATAACGGCCAGAAACATGACATTGCCTTAACAGCAGACGACGGTATCAATGGACCGACCGAATTATCTTACAACTGTGGAATGAATGAATTGTTAGTTGTAAACAACAGTTTTAAAATAGTCAATATTTATAAAACATAATTATATCGTCCGAAATGTGCATTAAATATTTGCCACTGAATTTTAAGCAACCAACAATCCACCAATAAAACATAACAATGCAAAATTGATCTAAATCCACCTAAACACACACCAAACAATAAACGAGGGATCAAGAATATCAGTCACTGTTTATGCGAAACATTTTGAAAAAAAAACCGAATGACATATACTGTGCGCACAACAGTAGTTTCTTGATTATCCGTCAAGTGCATGTATGTAACCGACCATGCGTGACCCTTTTGAGGAAACTGGATTTTTTATTGTCAAAATCTACGCAATATTTTATATGTCTGAAGTAAGTTCAAACGAATCCTCATATTTGTTTTACTACATATAAAAAAGAAGATGTGATATGATTGCCAATGAGACAACTCTCCACAAGAGACCAAATGATACAGAAATTAACTATAGATCACCGTATGGCCTTCAACAATGAGCAAAGCCGATACCGCACAGTCAGCTATAAAAGGCCCCGAAATGACAATGTAAAACAATTTAAACGAGAAAACAAACGGCCTAATTTATGTACAAAAAATGAACGAAAAACAAATATGTAACACATAAACAAACGACAACCACTGAATTACAGGCTCCTGACTTGGGACAGGCACATACATACAGAATGTGGCGGGGTTAAACATGTTAGCGGGATCCCAACCCTCCCCCTTACCTGGGACAGTGGTGTTTGTTCATTCAATATTCTGTTTTTAATCTACATTAATGTCATTGATTTGTGAACTGATATACCAGAGATTCCAGCAGAAACAAATTTTAATATAAACAGAATATTATCTACGAACGACTTTATCGATGTTGGTTATAATTATACGTTAACATGTCAAAGTTGTGTTGATTTCTCAATATAGTTCTTGCATGATTTTGAAATTAGTTATTATTATTTAAGTAAAATATTTCGATACTTAAAGAGAATTTTTTTCTTGAAAAGATGAAAGAGCTGGGATTTCATATTGAGTGAGAAAATGGCACCCTTCTGATGTTTTCTTTTATCAGCAGCTGAAATTTATTTTCTAGAAATGTATTCTATAAAAGTAAACTAAAAAATATCGAAAAATAAATATTTGCGACTCTATTGCCGATGAAAAAACAGCCAATTAGAATTATTGAAATAAAAAAGACAAGAACAATTGTCATATAATTATAGTAAATTGCACTGACACTCTTCTTGAAAAAGTTTACGAGCGTATTTTATGATGTGAATTTTTCTTCGTACTTATTTTTCTTTGGTAAAATCTCGCATACATGTTTAAGACGATTTCTGTGAAAATGCCGAAAAATATAAGAATGGTAACGAAATAAATATTTAAAAAATTGAACTATGATATATAATGATTTTAAAGAATGTGAACAATTGATAAAGATCATTAAACAATAATGTTTATCACCTATATGTAAATATGTAATTTGTGTACTGTTTGTATGTATTTTTGACAATAAGGAGGGACTTGCACAGTTGGAGTTACAGTTTATATTTTAGATCTCGCACTGCCGAATATTGTTTAACTATTATTTTATCATTAATACATTATATGAGGATAATTTAGTATGTTAAAATGACTCTTATTTTTTATGTTTTCTAAAATCCTACCCAAAAAATTCCAACTAATTCATTCCATTAAGTATAGTTGTCGAGCCTGCGACTTTTTCACAAATGCGAGACATAGCGATCCTACATTCCGTCGTCGGCGTCGGCGGTGTCCACAAATATTCACTCTGTGGTTAAAGTTTTTGAAATTTTAATACTGGATTTCTACCAAACTTAGACAGAAAAATAAAGGCAACAGTAGTATACCGCTGTTCGAAATTCATAAATCGATTGAGAAAAAAACAAAAGGTTACAAACTAATACTGAGGGAAACACATTAAAAATAAGAGGAGAACTACGACACAACAGAAGCTTGTTTATGATCATAAGATAGTATCCAGAAGTAAATTTTATAAAAATACCCTGTTTATCCGTATTTTACTTATAAATGGACTTAGTTTTTCTGCCAGTTAACATTACATTCACTCTGTGGTTAAAGTTTTAAAAATTTTAATAACTTTCTTAAACTATCCTGGATTTTTACCAAACTTGGACAGAAGCTTGTTTATGATCGTAAGATAGTATCCAGAAGTAGATTTTGTAAAAAATAAATCCAGTTTTCCATATATTACTTATAAATGGACTTAGTTTTTCTTCCAGTTAACATAACATTCACTCTGTGGTGAAAGTTTTTAGAATTTTAGTAACTTTCTTCCACCATCCTGGATTTTTACCAAACTTGTATAGAAGCTTGTTAATGATCAAAATAAGGTATCCACAGGACAGTTTAGGATTTTATTTTCTTAAGTTTTCTGTATTTCACTTTTAACCTTTCATACATTTACATTAACTCTTTGGTTTTTCAGATTTAAATAACTTTCTAAACCATCCTGGGTTTTTACCAAATTTGCACAGAAGCTTGTATATGATCAAAATAGAGTATTCAGAGGAAAATTTTGGAATTGCTTCCCATATTTCCTAACACACAATTTTCTTATTTGCACATATATTCTACTTTTTTAGTTGCATCAATTATTTTGAACAAAATTTTAGAATTGCATCTTCTATTTACATGCATTTTTATTGATGAATTAAGGAATAAATCATCAAGCAATGTAAAAATTATCTTCTTTTATATCATTTGTTCATTCAATAAATTTATGTTTCAACTCTTTTATAAATCTATAGATTTGATTGCATACTGTATACACTTTTTACAAGCATAACTTTTTTCATACATTTCAAACGTTTTATTTAATTAACTGTAAATCTATTATGTGCATTACCCTATTACACTAAAAACAAAGACATCAGTAAAAGTAGGCGAGACACTGGGTTCCGCGGAACCCTAACGAATTTTTAATATAACTGGCGAAAATCAGATGGATTATATTTGTGCCTTATATTTTAGCTATATTTCGCATTTGCAATTTCAGGGGAAATAAATCTAAATTACAAACCGTTCATGCAAGGTTACTTGCAACGGTTGCTTGAAAGCGTGATCGAGTACACTCAATATTGTTGGGTATAAAATACGAAAAATTCCCACGTGAAATTAATACCCCTTAAACAAGGAAATTTTTAACTACGTTTCCCATTTTTGTAGAAAAGATCAGCTTGATGAGATAATAGGGTCGATCTATCAATTGATCATGAATAATTCTAGTGTAAAGCTTCGATAAATGAAAGGTTTAGATATTACTGCAAAACCGTAAAGATCGTGATCTTTAGAATTTTAAAAAACACCTCTGGTTGACTATACTTCATCACAATAATTCTGAACGCCTCATTTTACTTTATCGCACCTTGGTCCATCATCAGATATTCTGTGTATGTTGTTTGATAAATATCCTGATACATAAACATCCCCATGATCATCTACTGCAACACCACGAGGACATTTCAGGTCAAGGCTGTTGTATATCTCACGTTCTTTTCCATCCAATGTTACGTAGTAGACTTTACTTCTAGTAACGTCTGTACAATAGACATCACCATCTTTGTTGGCACATATATCACATGGATCAAACGTTGTTTGTATTGTATTCATAGCTTTACCACTAATATCCATTAGAGTTAGAGTTTTGGATTGATTTTCTACCCAGATTTTATCCTTTACACTGGTGATTCCATAGCAATGTCCTCCAACTTTAATTTTCCTACCAGGCTTTAATAGTGTCAGGTCGATGATCTGGATACCTCCATAACCGGAAGATACTATAGCATGGGTATTGTCATACAAGTTAATATGTTCTATTTTATAATCAACTTTAATTACTTTTGGGTTGGAGCCATCAAGTTCACAAACATAAAGTTTATTTTGTGAACACTGACTAAGGAGTAACCTATCACCTGGAATAAAGCAACCTCTATAAACACGCACATTATCACCTAGTTTTGTGGTCTTAAATGACTTTGTCAACGACAACTTTCTCTGTTCTCCGACCATAAACTGACATTGTTGGTCAATATCTAGTACAGACAATGGTACTGGGACGTTCTCTATATTTATTGTACCCAAGTCTGGGAGTTCATTTTGTATGTTTGACTCTAACCCTGAAGGATTATACGTTAGTGTCGGAACGGTAGCTGTTTGAACATCTCTGATTTCCAATTCTTGTTGGTGAGTTTTCGCATCTAGAAATTTAACTGCCTGGAATAAGTGAATTTCAGATGTGTATTGCTTCAGTGATTTGATATCTTTTTTCCATGTGGATAGTGAGTCGTAGCTTGATTGGACGCTATCTGTAATTCGGGACACCGTCTCGGTACTCTGTTCATACTTATTATCTATGTCCTTATGTATATTTGATTCTAACTTATCTAAATGGGCTATAAATTTCAGTTTCATTTCAGTTACGCTTTTTGTGATTTTGCTCCGACTTTTTTTCAAATCTTCAAGCGTTGCCTCATTTTGACTCAGTATATTTTCAGTGACTTGGCTAAGGTTGTCCATCCTTCTCTCTAGGTCGGAAATAGCAGTGCTGTCTTTTACGTCCTTGGCAGCTTTTTCGACTGAAATGATAGGATTGCAATTAGGATGTGATACCGGTACACATGAATCGCAGATCACCGTGTCATGTTGACAGCAATAAAGTACAATCTTTTGATCTGGATGATTTTCGCAGTTCTTGGACAATTTAAGAAGAGAAGAACTGAGTTCTTGTATTTCTTTCATTGGTACTATCTTGTGAGGCGGGTACATCCTTTCGTGAACTCTAGCACATGTTTTACAAACAAGTTCACTACAATCACTGCACCAGGATTCGGCTGTTATGTCTTCTTTACCACGCTGACAACCGACACAAAATGTACTGTCTGCCATACTGTAACATGAAAATACAAAGCTTAGCATTAAAGGTATAAAAAATATATATATACATATAAAGTGAGAAATGGTTGTTACAGGATGCTGTTACCAAGTCTCCAAACAAAGTCCCTATTGCTATAAACCCCTTCGAACACCCTTTTATTCATTTAATTGATCTTGCAGAAAATATATTGGTTAAGGGTGGGGATCTCAACCATTCACAAGATATAAGAACATTCTCATATTACACGAGTGGGGATGACCCCTGGGAACTTCTTTTATATATCATTCAAATCATTGTGACATAAAAAACAGGAATATATATGGTTAAGGATGGGGTTCTTGACCACTAACATGATATTTGAAAATTCTTAAATGCCAGGGGTGGGAATGACCCGTAGGGACTCATTTTATAAATCATCCAAATGATTTTGACATGATAAACAGGTACATATATGGTTTAGGGTGGGGATCTCGACCATTTACAAGATATAAGAACATACACACATAATATCCCCCACCATCGTATTTGGTGAGAAAAACAATAAAGGAACAAGCAAACAGTAATATAGAAAGAAATATACATGTAGAAAGATAAAACGACCTGTATTTTGATGTCACAGAGACCATTTCTCACAAGAGAAAACTATGAAATAGGACACCAGGGAATGTAATTATAAGAATAAAGGGTCAGTATACTGTAAACCAACTCATTTTCGCCAGCGATTTATTTTCGCGAGTTTCGCGAGTAGAAAAATAACGCGAATATAAATCGTCGCGAATATGTAAAACTTGGATCTTTCCTTATCTAACTACAGCAAGTAAATTAGAAAATCGCGAAATTTAATCGCCGCGAAGTGGAATAGAAAGGGCTAAACGCGAAATAAAGTATCCGTGAAAATAAGTTGGTTTACAGTATTCCGTATACTCTTTTATGGTCATACACGGTGCGAAAATGGGAGATTATATGCATGAGGTAATCGTTGTTTTGTTGATAAGTCCTATTTTCACAGTTTTGTTGATAAGTCCTATTTTCACAGTTTTGCTCTGTAAGAAATGACCTCCAGATGGTAACTTCAAGGGGCGGATCCAGCCATTTATAAAGGGGGGGGGTTCCAACTATATGTCCCCATTCAAATGCATTGATCGTCAAAAAAGGGGGTTCCAACCCCCGGAACCCCCTCCTGGATCCGCCACTGACTTCAATGTTATTTATAACTAAATACGATGGTAGGGGGTATTATGTTTGTATGTTTTATGTAAAGTTAACATAGTCATGTTCAACACAAAATGGGTGCTTGACGTCACAACTGTTTTATTTTGAACGACAGTCGGGATCAAAATAGATATTTTTGGGGGTTTTTGCTTGCTATGAACTTAAACAAAACATGGTAAAAGTTATATATATATATTGGTACTTAGAATTGAGAAACCCTTGTTCTTTTATGAACGATTTGACGCTTATTTAAAAATTGGCAGAAAAAAATAGTTGTCAAAATAATTTCATCATCGTCATACTATCTGCCGTATTCTAAAAGGTACCAAGCTTTCATCTTTTTTAGGCTGGCGGGCGTATTTTTGTTTAAATAATAGTTTTACAAAATGGTTTTTATTTTTAACATTTTTTTTTTTCACAAAATATTTTGTTTCAGAATAGATGTGAAAAAATATCCTTTGCAAATTATGAAACAAAAATGAATTCAATATTGAGTATCAAAACAAATTCTTTGTTTGTATATGTTATTGAAAAATATAGTCGGAAAAAAATTTTCGACGCGAGGAAAAAAACAAAACAACACGAACAGTAAAAAAGATGATAGGTCGGTTCGTAAGGTATTATGTAA